AACTATTTTAGAAGTTATAATTGTTTAATATCAACAGTATAAAATTAAATACTTATTCTAAAGTAATAATAAATATTAATAGAAAAAATATAATTTATAGCACTGACCCTTGGTGGCCCAATAATCATGCCTGTCCACCTGGTAAGTGTCATATCTTCATCATCTTCAAGGCCCCAGCTAACCGTACCATCGCCTACTCCTTTTTGTCCTTCTTCAAGTTCTTCCAACAAGCGAAAATTACGGGGAACTTTAACTCCTATACAAAAGAACGTCAGTGTCAATGTAAAAAGTTCATATTGTAAGAGCTATGCATATTTAAATTGTTTTTTCCGAATTAATCCTTTATAAATTATTTCCCAAAAAGACAAAATCCCCTTAAAAAAACATTCTGCTCTATACAAAAAAATTAATTAAAAAAAAAAGCATTCTGCTCCAGAAAATGCTGAATCTAACAACTCCCAAACATTAACAGCAGTATAGAATATGTATATAAATTCCTAATCAATTTTATACTGACATAAGTCAATCAATCATAAGGAAATCATTACAAGTGAACATTTTCCCTTCTTGAGGTTTCTGTTCCAGCCAAGGACTCTGCATCAAATAAACAGGCATGACCAGAAAGTTCATAAAAGCCAAAGTTCATTAATGTATACTCTCTAATGGTTTTTAAAGAGTAGAATTATGTTCCCTCTTAGAAAGTACAGCAGAAGGTACTGCCTTTTAGAATGCTGAAGCAGTCTCACCCACAGTCCCCAGTCTGCCTCTTTCCTCCTGTCCCTAACCAATAAGGCCCTACTTCCACCAACTCAGCACCATCAGTTAAGGAACACTTGAGGAGTTACTAGATTCGAGGACAAATCTCCTGATATTCCAGAGTTTCCTAGGACATCATCCTTTACCTCCATGCCTGACCTAGCAAATTTTTTGTAATCCACTAACCCTTCTTACATCTCCACTCCATGCCATACATGTTTCTACCCTTTCAGACTTTATCACTCCTTATTTTATTTCTAAAATCTTTTTTTTTTTTTGAGACGGAGTTTTGCTCTTGTTACCCAGGCTGGAGTGCAATGGTGTGATCTCGGCTCACTGCAACCTCTGCCTCCTGGGTTCAAGCAATTCTCCTGCCTCAGCCTCCTGAGTAGCTGGGATTACAAGCACTACAGGCATGCGCCACCATGCCTGCCTGATTTTTTGTATTTTTAGTAGAAACGGGGTTTCACCATGTTAGCCAGGCTGGTCTCAAACTCCTGACCTCAGGTGATGCACCCGCCTTGGCCTCCCAAAGTGCTGGGATTACAGGTGTGAGCCACCACGCCCGGCTATTTCTAAAATCTTAACACAGAAATCTCTCTGCCTAGAATGGTTCCCACTCCTTCACTTGCACTGAACCTGGTCTTTGCCATCATTCCAACTGCCAATCCCTGGAATTCAACCACAATTCCCCCAATTTTCCACAACCTGTCCTAGGATTACTGGCCTGGCCTCTCTACCAAAGGATGAACACTGTGGTCTTCCATGCCCTCCACAGCATCTAACATAAAACATCCTCTAACCTCATCACACAAGTTTGTAAAAAAATATGGAAATGCCCTCAGAATCCTCTCTCTCCCCCTCTCATATACACACAATTATAAGGCAGAAAAAAAAAAATCTCCTTAAAAGTAAATGTAATTTTTTGCAGCTTCCCTCTCCCACTGAAAAAGTCGTTACAATTACTGTAATTGTTAATAGCCATTTGTTTAACAAATATTATGTGCGATTTTAAATAAATTTTCCCATTTAGCTCTAAAAGTACCTGAAACTGAAAAAGTGATGTGACCTCCTCAAGGTCACACAGCTATAAATGGCAGATCCAGTATGAAAATCCAGTTTCTAGACCACAGCAACCCTTCTCACCACTAAGTGGCACCGCACTGCAAGCTACACTGGCAGCACAGCCTGGTAGTCTGAGCACGCACATCAGACTGCCTGAGTTGAGCTCCAGCTCTGCTGCCCACCTGACCTGTGACCCCAGCACAGTTTTCTCATCTGTAGAAGTGGGATAACAATCATCCCTACCTCACTGGATCACTGTGAAAATTAGACAAGGTAACCCATCTCAAATGCTTACAATGTTGACTATGATCATTTCAGTGTCCACATTAAACAGAATGTTATAAAACTTCTACGTACCTCCATCTAAGTTGTTGAAAATAAAAGCTCTTTATAAATTCCTCTAGGGTGGCCCCTGGAAACTTTATCCTAAGGTCTAAGTTTCTATTTATATAACACTGGGACAACTACTTTTTTATTTTACCGTACTGTGTAGTTATGACCTCCAATATACTCTCTTGAATAGCTTCTTAAAATAACTGTAAACAAACTTGGTTACCCTTGCCATTATTAAGTCATTCCCCCAACAATAATTTTAAATTTGTGTTGAATTTCTTTGCTTCCTTTTTATAACCAGTTCAGTGAGGTGACCTTTATGGGCATCCAAAACCACAAAGTAAACAATGTAAAACTAACACTTCCTTTTACATAAGTGCCATAAAAGTGACAAATCTAGTTACTGCTAAACTTGTCACCATCTCTCTTACATAGCACTTTGGAAAAATCGTTCTAAGATTAACAGATAAATTATTGACAATACTAATATTTAACGAGTTATTGCAGCTTTTTTTTTTTTTTTTTGAGACAGAGTTTCACTCATGTTACCCAGGGTGGAGTGCAATGGCACCATCTTGGCTCACTGCAACCTCTGCCTCCTGGGTTCAGGCAATTCTCCTGCCTCAGCCTCCTGAGTAGCTGCGATTACAGGCACGCACCACCATGCCCAGCTAATTTTTTTTTTGTATTTTTAGTAGAGACGGGGTTTCACTATGTTGACCAGGATGGTCTCGATCTCTTGACCTCGTGATCCACCCGCCTCGGCCTCCCAAAGTGCTGGGATTACAGGCTTGAGCCACCGTGCCCGGCAGCTTTTTGTTTTTAAAACATGAGACTCACATCAGGCATGCTGGCTCACAGCCATAATCCCAGCACCTTGGGAGACCAAGGCAGGATTACTTTAGGCTGGGAGTTTGAGATCAGCCTGGGCAACACAGCAAGACCCTGTCTCTACAAAACTTTTAAGAATTAGCCAAGCATAGTGATGCACACCTGTAGTCTCAGCTACTCGGGAGACCGAGGTGGGAGGATCCCTTGAGGCCAGGAGTTCGAGACCACCCTGGGCAACATGGTGAAACTCCATCTCTACAAAAAATACAAAAATTAGCCAGATGTGGTGATGCTCAACCGTAGGCCCAGCTACTAGGGAGGCTGAGGTGGGAGGATCACTTAAGCCTGACAGGTTGAGGTGCAGTGAGCCGAGATCATACCACTGCACTCCAGCCCGTGACAGAGTGAGACCCTGTCTCAAAAAAAAAAAAGTTTAAAATTCAAAAAAGCATTGAGACTCAAAAACAAAACAGTGAGCTGTTTTCAAATTCTGGGCTAGGGCACTGTGGTCTTATTTTACCTAACCTTAAATGCCTGTCAAGAGAAAAAAAAAGCCACAAGGTGGGGCTGTTGCTCCACAGAAGTCGCAGCATGCATGCGCTGCCCTTTGATCTCCTGCATTAGACAATAACCTAAAACTGACAGAACTACTAGTGAGTTGCCAAAACAAGCTGAGAAGCCAAATCTCCAGGCTTCCCACTAATCCAGTCTCCTAGTTAGTACATCACAATGAACCTCCACTCATGAGAGATAAGGCCAAAATTAGTAGTAATTTTCAGAAACAAAACCCTGCATGCAAACATACTGGAAAACATGCTTCCAGTTTTTAACCTGAAACTCATGATACCAAGTTACTTGCCTTCAAATGCGCCATGATACCCAAAACATGCCAAATACTAGGAGAATGAGTCTTGCCATGCTGTGCTTACCTGAAACACAGATTTTCCTAATTCATAAACCTTTCACCTTTTTTAAGTTAACAGGGAAAATGCAAAAATAGAACTTTAAATAGATATTTTAAAATATTAGTCTTGTTAGTGGACAGGAGCAGAGATTTTGCCACTTTTTTTTTTTTTTTTTTGGAGCAAGAGTCTCCCTCTGTTGCCCAGGCTGGAGTGCAGTGGTGCGATCTCAGCTCACTGCAATCTCCAACTCCCGGATTCAAGCGAATTCTCCTGCCTCAGCCTCCCGAGTAGCTGGGACTACAGGCACATGCCACCATGCCCGGCTAAACTTTGTATTTTTAGTAGAGTTGGGGTTTCACCACATTGGTTGGCTGGTCTCAAACTCCTAAGCTCAGGCAATCTGCCTACCTCAGCCTCCCAAAGTGCTAGGAATACAGGTGTGAGCCACCACACCCAGCCTGCCACACAGTCTTTTACACTACTTGACCAGATGATTGACAGGCTACTCAAAAATTAAAGTAAAACACCTGCAGGAATAGAAGAACTGCTTTCCACCTTATTTATTTTCTAACCCCACAGCTGGTTCTCATAAACATCCAGGTGTGTCAAAGGTCCCCCTCCCCTTCCCCGCTGCCCAGAGTATCTGTGGGATTAAGGAAGAGGGTGTCTGGGGGCACATAAGCAGTGGGATGACTGGCACCTCCAGGGATTCACACCCAGCTTGTAGGGTGCTGAGGCTGCTCACCCGACCTCTGCAGAGTGCTTTCAGATGCACGGCTCTCAGTCTCTCTGAAGAGAGTGTTCACATTCTGTAGTCCCTGAGGGTACATCTTGTTAAGGTGGAACTCATTACAAGTCCCACCTGTAATTGTACCTCTGCTTCCCTCCTCACTGGGGGAGTTCTGAGTTCCCCTCAAACCTGCTGAGTTGATTAAAAATAAGGTATTTATTGAGCACTCCCTACATGACAGACATTTGCTACAAACTTTAGAGGCAGAAGTTTCTCATTAAGTCTCACCTTGTTAACATGACCATTATACTGTAAGAAAACTGAGGAATATATTATGTTAACCCTTATGAAACTGCTGACATGCAGGCATCTTTTTAACCAACAGAAATAGCAATTTCATAAGGCTCAATCTAACAACATGGAGAGTGAGTGGAAGGGTCAGGGCTGAAACTTGGGTTTCCAAGCCAAAGCCTGGGGCCATTATCCTTCCAGCCTCTACAGGGAACCTGGTAAGGCCTGCACGGCACTCACTTGACTACCTTCCGGCACCACTGCCCGTAATTCCTGCAGATCTCATAAGGAACACGCCTTAACCAACTGTGGGAGCAATTCTGACAAAACACACCCTGAGCTGACTTTTTTGTTTCTTTTAGAAAACAGGGTCTCACTCTATCGCCCAGAGTGCAGACGTGCAATCATAGTTCAATACACCCTCAACTTCCTGGGATCAAGTGATCCTCCCTCCTCAACCTCCTGAATAGCTAGGACTAAAGGCGCTCATTCTGCTCACTGCAACCTCTGCCTCCAGGGTTCAAGCTATTCTTCTGCCTCAGCCTCCCCAATAGCTGGAACTACAGGCACGCACCATCACGCCTAAATGATTTTTGTATTTTTGGTAGAGACGGGATTTCACTATGTTGGCTGAGCTGCTCTCGAACTCCTGACCTCAGATGATCCACCCACCTCAGCCTCCCAAAGTGCTGGAATTACAGGCGTGAACCACCGCAGCCAGCTTTTTGGTTTTTTTGAGGCAGAGTCTTGCTCTGTCACCCAGGCTGGAGTGCAGTGGGGCATTCTCAGCTCACTGCAGTCTCCATCTGCCAGTTTCAAGTGATTCTAGTGCCTCAGCCTCCCAAGTAGCTTGGGATTACGGGTGTGCACCACCACACCTGGCTAATTTTTGTATTTTTAGTAGAGATGGGATTTTGCCATGTGGCCCAGACTGATCTTGAACTCCTGGCCTCAAGTGACATGACCGCCTCAGCAATCCAAAGTGCTAGGATTACAGGTGTGAGGCACTGCACCCAGCCAAAAGCTCTCCATGACATTTTCCAATTTTTCAGAAATTTGAAACTCAAATATGTATTTGGTTTTAACTTATTTTCCTTAAAGGAACAATAAAATTATGAAAATACCATGTAGAAAAAAAAACACATTAGGCAGCAAAATATCAAATGACCTATATTTTGTCATCCATTCCCTTTTACACTATTCATTCCTTCACTCAATAAACTTTTTCTTTTTTTTTGAGATGGAGTTTCACTCTTGTTGCCCAAGCTGGAGTACAATGGCACCATCTTGGTTCACCATAACCTCCACCTCCCAGGTCCAAGCGATTCTCCTGCCTCAGCCTCCCAAGTAGCTGTGATTACAGATATGCGCCACCACACCTGGCTAATTTTTTGTATTTTTAGTAGAGAAGGGGGTTTCTCCATGTTTGTCAGGCTGGTCTCTAACTGCCAACCTCAATTGATCCACTCGCCTCAGCCTCCCAAAGTGCTGGGATTACAGGTGTGAGCCACTGTGTCAGCCTCAATAAACATTTGACAACTACTAGCTGCCAGGAACTAGGCTAGACACCTGTTATCAGGAGGACTAAGAACTTTGCCCTCAAAAAGTTTACCATCTAGAGCATGGTGGTACACAGCTAATAACTACAAGGTTATTATTACACACCCATCAAAAAATAAATATTAAGACGGGGCGCAGTGGCTCATGCCATCCAAGCACTTTGGGAGGCCGCGGCGGGGGGATCACAAAGTCAGGAGATCGAGACCATCCTGGCTAACATGGTGAAAACCTGTCTCTACTAAAAATACAAAAAAAAATTAGCCAGGTGTGGTGGCACACACCTGTAGTCCCGGCTACTCAAGAGGCTGAGGCAGGAAAATCGCATGAACCCAGGAGGCAGAGGTTCAGTGAGCCAAGATTGCGCCACCACACTCCAGCCTAACAGAGCAAGACTCTGCCTCAAAATAAATAAATAAATAAAATAAAAATTAAAAATAACCTAAAACAGTGTTGGTAAAACTGTGAAAAAAAAATGTATTTTTCATCATTGGTGACACTGAAAATCTTGCTGATGAGGTAATCTGATAAAATACAACAAAAATTTTTGAATATGTATTATGATTTGACTTAAATTCAACTTTCAGGCCGGGCGCGGTGGCTCAAGCCTGTAATCCCAGCACTTTGGGAGGCCGAGGCGGGTGGATCACGAGGTCAAGAGATCGAGACCATCCTGGTCAACATGGTGAAACCCCGTCTCTACTAAAAATACAAAACATTAGCTGGGCATGGTGGCGCGTGCCTGTAATCCCAGCTACTGAGGAGGTTGAGGCAGGAGAATTGCCTGAACCCAGGAGGCGGAGGTTGCAGTGAGCCGCGATCGTGCCATTGCACTCCAGCCT